TTCTCTTGCTTCTTTTTAATTCACCGACAATTTTTGGTTTACCCAATTTTTAATTAAAGCTATTACTGGATCTACGGACGGCATTGGTAAGGCATATGCCAAGCAACTGGCACATCGCGGCTTTAATTTGGTCCTAATTGCGAGAAATAAAGATAAACTGGAATATGTGGCTAAGGAAATTGGTAAGTTAACATCTCGAAATTAATTAATTTTTATTGAAACCTAAATATTTTATTTTTTCTTCAAAGAAACCTGTTTCAATGTTGAAGTAATGACCATACAGGCAGATTTTTCCCTTGGACCCGAAATCTATGCAAAACTTTTTGAGGCATTTGCCAAAAAGCCAATTGGTTTGCTGGGTGAGTGGATAAATTGCCAACAACGTTTTCCATTAAACTCTTAAGTAACCTCTCTTTAGTTAACAATGTTGGCACCTATGCCGGAAGAACCGACCTAATGTGGTCATTTCCCAGGAAACTTATGTGGGATATGATTTATGTCAACATGGCTGCCGCCACCGAGTTGAGTCTCCATTTTGTGCGAGTCTGGGAGGCAAATGGTACCAGAGGCTGCATTGTAAATGTATCGTCTGGCTTGGAATCATATCCGGCACCTTATGGTGGGATTTATAGTGCCACTAAGGCCTATATGCGTAATTTTACCACAACACTACGATATGAGGTCCGACACTTGGGTATAACGGTACAATTACTCTCGCCGCACTTTGTCTCCACAAAACTTGTGGACTTTTCATCGTATTTGCAAAGAGGCAATTTTCTTGTGCCCACAGCTGATGTTTATGCCCGACATGCTATTCAAACATTGGGCAAGGATGATACGACTACGGGGTATTTCTGGCATACGCTTAATGTAAGTTACCGTCTTATGGCCGCCTCTTTTGATATGGAATATTAATTCGGAATTAATTTTAATTTTGCAGGATGTTCTACTTAAGATGGTGCCCTATTACTATCGGGCAAAAGTTTTTGACTTGATTGCAAAATGCTTAGTAGATGACTACTCGGAGATGATTACAAAACTTAACGATGAGAAGAGGGTAAATGTTGGGAATTATAAATAAATTGAAAGTTATATGTAACAGCATAACAGTAAATAAATTGAATAAAGAACTTCTACCATTTTGAAGAAAAATAAACACTTTCAAAAAAAAAAAACAAAAAAAAAAAAAGCCAGTAGAAAAGCGCGAAAGCGAAAGGAACTGAACTTTCAATACCCTCCACCATTTAAAAGGAACATGAAAATTTTTAAAAAAGATCTATACGAAGAGTGGCACTGCATAAAAAATACCGATTCCGAATTTCAAATGCAAAATTTGAAACAATTCCGGTGAATATTGCAGTTAATATCATCAAAATGCCGAAAAAAAACTGAGGTAACGTTATATGGAGACTTTAAGAAACGCAGAAGTCGTAATGCGTTTGCAAAACCACCACCAGATACCAGTAGAGACCTTAAATATCAAATTTCAAGGTATCAGCTCCAATCCAACACCCAATATTGTACCACTCAGTACTTTTCGTACAATTGTAATGTGTAATAACATATTTCCAAAATCAATTCCATAAGTCAATCCCAATTGCCACTAGAAAACTTAATATAAAATTTAAGGATTCCAACCTTATTCCTTCACCCAATACCAAATTTTGCACTTTGCGGAGAATTGTAGGACACATTTATGTATACAGGGTGAGAAACGCTATAATTTTTACAGTTTTTTTTAATTTTAATTTTAGAATAAGTTTAGATTTGTTCGAATTTTTCACCTTTGGCAGGAATTATGGGCTTCAAACGGCCAATGAAATCGTCACACGCTGCCTGAATGTTGCTCTGCGGTATTTTTGTCCCATTCCCGGCGAAGCGCTTGCTTGAGGTGATCGACACTTTTTTAGTACCAACTTTGCTTTCCGAAATACTCCAGACACAATAGTCCAAAGGATTGGTATCCGGAGATTGTGTGGTCATTGTACGCTGGAAATGAAGCGAGGAACCTCATTTTGTAACCATTCTTGGGTGTCGCGTGCTGAGTCCTGCTGAGTCCTGAATGTCCAAGGTCTGCGGCCAAAATGTTTGCATGCCCAAGGCTTTTATACACCCTCCAGAATATTTTCGCGATAATATTCGGCATTTATTCTGATGACACGGTCGATTAATACGAGCGTAGAGTGACTGTTATGGCGGCCCACACCATAACCATGTCCGGCGCTTGAGTTCTAGTGGCCAACCGAAGGTGCACATTTTCAACTGACCTCTTTGGCAAATAAACACGATCATTTTGTTTGTTTACAAACCGCTTGACAACGAATGTTTTCTCATCGAAGAAAACCAAATTCGGCAGTTCACCACTTTCGGCCAAGTGAAGCAACTCTTTAGCTTTTTTGAGTCTATTATCTTTGTGTTTCGGTGTAAGTTTTTGTACTTTTTGGAATTTCAATGGCTTTACCCCGAGCTCATTTTTAAATATTTGCCGAATGGAATATTGCGATATTTCCGGCTCACGAGCCATTTTTCGGTCACTGCTACGCGGGTTTCGATCCAGTCGCTTCTTTACTTTTCGAACCATTTCTACTGATGTTGCTGTTTTTTTCCGTCCACTTCCTTGAAGTTGGGCTACGTTACCAGTATCACCGTAACGAGCGATGGTACGAGACACAAAAGATTTATTCACATTTGAATGCTGGAGTTCTCTAACGATAGCCACTTGTGTTTTCAAGCCAAATATAAAGAAATAACACTATCTCGCTTGAGATCCATCACGAATAACTTTTTTCCTGGAAAATTCTCACCAAAATGCTTTTGTACGCTTGTAAACAATATAATGAGCTGTCACAGGAATAATTTTAACAGCTGTGGGAGGAGTGGCTTAGAAATAATAGCAGTCTGAAATTGGTTGCAGTTTTTTAATTTCAGTCTGTATACCACCAGTGACCTTAATATCCTGCTTCAGGGTTTCAGCTCTCAATATCTCAATATCAAATTTGAGGATTCGTGCACTATCATTTCACCCAATACAAAATTTAGTACCATTTGGTACTTTTCATTCAAAGATAGAACGCCAACAGTGACATCCTGTTCCATTTCAGGATTTCCAATACCAAATGTAGTACTATTTAGTACTTTTCGTTAAATTATAGTTCACATTTCTAAAATCGCCTCTTTATTACGAACCTCCTACCAACAGGGTTCCAATACATATTTTCATCCGTTAACACTAAACCAAACTTTTCTAAATTTAGAAACATTTAGTATAGTTCCCTCACTTAGTAGAAATTCCATCTTTATATATCAAACTTACTTTCCAACATTATTTTCATACCAAATTCGCGACAACATAATACCACATGGTACCATATTAGAAGCTAAGTACCATTTTAGAACACATAAGTGCGAATTTCCAAAACAAAAGTAATCTTATCTCTAAATTTCAAAATTCTAGCTCTATGGGTTCACCCAAATTTGTGCGAATTTCAAAAACACTTTGGTCGTGTATATTATAGGTAGCTGACCCTCATTCCAAATTTAAGAGTTCTAGCTCTTCTGCTTCCTCAAATACAAAGGGTACCATATTTACTACCGTTTAATACCGAATTTCCAAAAAAAAAAAAAAAAAAAAAAACAGCCATATCTTACCCCTTCAGACCAAAAGTGCACCCAATTTCATATGGGGACTATAAGAAGACGTGTACCTGCTTACAAAATTTTTTGTCATTACGAACTTTAAGTACGAAATTTTTTACACTTCCGTTGAATAATGTCGCTAAAATCATGAAAATACCGAATATAGGTAGACCTGCATACAACATTTTTTGCCATAGGTTCTAGAATCCATTAAGATTTTCCAATACGAAATTTGAAACGATTCCGGTAAATAATGTTGCTGAAATTATCAAAGTACCAAATATCAGGAGGTTCCGTTATATGGGGGCTATACGAAAACGTGGACCGAAATGGCCCATTTACGAACTTAACCTGCCTATTGTAAAATATAAACGTATGCAAAATTTTAGCTTTCTGCCTCAATTTGTTCGAAAGATGATGATTTTTTAGGATCTGTTATGAATATTTCGAGGAGTTTCAAACGGAATGACAAAGCTAATATACCCTCCATAGAATGTTGAAGGTTATAAAAATATAATTTTGCCTATTTCATATTTAGCTCAATGGATACGTAAAGATTAGCCAGAAGTATGGTAAAAAACTATCATTGCATCTGAAAAAGTCAAAAAAGTTTGGTGCGGTTTCTGGGCTACTGTAGGACGCTGCAAATGATAACGTACCTGTGAATGGTGAGCGCAACAGTGAGAATATATCCAACATACGAGCTCGCTTCAATTTACAACATTAAAGCATTTATTTGTGGGATACCGGCCGAAATATTGCAAAGAGTATGTCAAAATTTTACTAATCGGATGGACTATTTAAGGTGCAGTCGCGGTTAACATTTCCATAAAATAATATTCAAACAATAAATTATATGGACCATACTATCGTGCCGTAATAAAGATTTTCTGAATTTTATGTGTTTTTCTTTAACTTTCCTATAACTCTAACAATTTCACTCTTTAATATGAGCCTTCGAAAAACAGGTTTGAATTCGAATTTTTAAAATGTTCTCTCTTGAGTGCATTGTTTCATACTAACATCTATTTTAATTTTGTCTACTGAGGCAACACGGTACGACCATATAACTGGTAGAAAGCAAAGACTCGTTTCGAAATTTTTCGAATTTTGCGAATTTATTCAAACTAATTCTAATTATATATTTCTATTTTTGTACCTCACTGCGTTAACCAAACCTGACCTACCAAAAATCCCGTTCAAATTCAAATTAATTTCGAAATTTAAAACAACAATTGAACTTTGTTCTTATATTCGATAATGGTATTGTTAGAATATTTCGTATCGCTAGCTACGCGACGGAACGCAGCCAACGAACTTTGCAGTGCTATACGGCTAAAATCGTGTTTATGCACTGTAATCAGCAGTATTATTCGGCCGCATACTCCAAACCAAAATAACTCTCTGGCCAATGATAACAAAAATTAGCCAAATCAGTAGCTTTTTGACTTCTTAGCTGTTTAGATCGTTATAGTATGATTATTTTGACATTTTTTGCTTTTGTTGGCATCTGGACATGTTTGGCCAAATTGTATTATTGTTTGAAGACGCCAATGCTGTTATGGTATCACAAATATCTGAGGAAAGCTGAACCTCTAACAGAGCGGTTTGGCAAATGGGCAGGTAGGTTATACCTCAGTATTGATCTTTAAGGTTTATAAATTGGATGGCAGTCGTAAATTGAATTAATTTTTTGCATTTTAGCTATTACCGGATCTACAGATGGCATTGGCAAAGAATATGCCCTGCAATTGGCACGTCGTGGTTTTAATGTGGTTTTAATTGCCAGAAATGAAGAAAAGCTTCAAAATGTGGCCAAGGAAATTGGTAAGAAATGTCTCAACTACATATTTATAGCCCGGGCTTACGGCTGCCGATATATACCCTCTATATACAATTTGATCCTCCAAAAATATGCTAATCGAAATTCGTTGACCAGTCCTGAAAGAGAAAAGAAACTATCTCGCCTCTCCACAAGTCCGTTGTTATGGGTTCAGTGTGGCATTAGACACTAGCTACAATCTTGACATTTTGGGTGAGGGTCACTCTTGGTCCGAAGGGGTCAGATAAGGCTGGGTTTTTTGAACTTCGTACTAGATGGGTACAAAAGATGTTACCCTTTGTATTTTAGGAAGCAGCCGAGCTTTAACTAAGGGTCACTGAAATGTTTGATAGATGTACCAGATGGTTTTTGGAAATTAGCACTATAAGTGTACGAAATTTACTAAAATGTACTACATTTGGTACCAGTTCGTATCATGTGAACGGTTAGAGCTAAAAACTTGAAATTTGGAGTCAAAGTTTAGGAGTAGATTCGATGTAAGGAGGTAGTTTAGGAAATGAGAACGGCACTAAATTTGGTACATTTTGAATTTGGAGGTACGGATGGAGCTGGAATGCGTGTAGGATGGCATTATGGAGGAAGTTTTCAAAATTTTTACATACAGGGTGAGATAAAAAAACTGCAACGAAGTCAAATGCCATAATTTTTACTTATTTTTAAGTTTTACTGCATGAAAGCAAAAATGTTCCTGTTGGCATGTGTATGGTCTGCGACCAAAAAGTTAGCGTCCCCAAGGCTTTAATACACACTCCAGAATATTTTCGCGATAATATTCGGCATTTATTCTGATGCCACGGCGCTTGAGTTCTGATGGCCAACCGAAGGAGCTCATTTTCAGCTGACCTCTTTGGCAAGCAAACACGATCATTTTGTTTGTTTACAAACTGCTGGACACCGAATGTTTTCTCATCGGAGAAAACCAAATTCGGCGGTTCACCACTTTCGGCCAAGTGAAGCAACTTTTTAGCTCTTTTGAGTCTATTTTCTGTCTGTTGCGGTGTAAGTTCTTGCACTTTTTGGAATTTTAATGGCTTTACTCCGAGCCCATTTGTCAAGATTTGCCGAATGGAATATTGCGATATGTTCAGCTCACGAGTCATTTTTCGGCCACTGCGACGCGGGTTTCGATCAAGTCGCTTCTTTATTTTACGAACCATTTCTGCTGATGTTGCTGTTTTCTTTCGTCCACTTCCTTGACGCCGGGCTACGCTAGCAGTATCACAGTAACGAGCGATGGTACGAGACACAAAAGATTTATTCACATTTCAATGGTGGAATGCTCTTACCATAGCCACATGTGTGCTTCCAGCCAAATATAAAGAAATCACACTATCACGCTTGAATTCCATCACGAATAACTTTTTTCTGGAAAATTCTCACCAAAATGCTTTTGTACGTTCGTAAACATAATTTTAACAGCTGTTGGACGAGTGGCTTAGAAATTACAGCAGTCTGAAGGTGGTTGCAGTTTTTTCATCTCACCCTGTATATGGTATTTGCTGAAGGAATAGAGCTAGAATTCTTAAATTTAATATTGAGGTCTCTGTTGGCATCTGGAATTGTGATATAGTGGTGGTTTTGGAGATATGTTCTAAAATTGTACGAAAAGTGCAAAATAGTACTAAATTTTGTATTGGGGGAAGGGATAAGCTGAAATCCTCAAATTTGGTACAGATCTCAAAGTAAGGTTCTGTTGTTGAGGGCAAGAGCTGGTTTTGGAAATGTGTACTATAGTCGTACGAAAGTTACTATATGGTACTAAATTTAGTATTGGGTGAAAGAATAGAGCTGAAATCCTTAAAATTTGATATAGAAGCAACTGTTGGTGTGTGTGGTTGAGAGAAGGAGTTGTTTTTGGATATGCGTACTTTAATTGTACTAAATGTTGCAAATTTTATATTGAGATATCTTTCGGTATTTGGAATTGAGATATGGTAGAGGGTTTGAAAATGTACTATAATTGTACGATAAGTACAAAATGCTACAAATTTTGGATCATTGTTGGTGGTTAGGCTTGTGAGATGAAGATTGTTTTGGATATGTGTACTTAATCTTACTAAATTTGCTATGGGTGAAGGGATAGAACTGAAACTCGATATTGAGGCCACTATTTGTCTCCAGGGTTTACATCTGGAGACTCCGAAATAGGTTTGGACAGAACAATTGGATGTGGGTCCATTGTTCAATGGTTTTACTAATATCCTCTTCGGTAGACTTCAGAAAAATTTTGGAAGTCCTTTTGCTGTAAAAGGTAAACATTTACCTATTATTCTTTCGGAAAAAAGGAACAAGTAAAAAAGGAGGAAAGTTCTAAATTTTTAATACCCTCCACCAGTTTGAAGGAACTTGAAAAATTTAAAAAAAAAATAATCGTAGAAAAATGCCTCTGAAATGAAACCCCTTTAATGGGGGCTATACGAAGACGTGGTCCTTCAAAAGTTATTTTTTGTCATAGACTGTAGTACCGATAGAGAATTTCCAATACAAAATTTAAAAAAATTCCGGTGAATAATGCCACCAAAATAATCAAAATGCCGAGTATCTGGAGGTATCGTTATATGGTGGCTATGTGAAGACGTACACCTGCATTCACGATTTTTTGTCATCACTAACTTTAAATACGAAATTTGAAATAATTTTGCGAAAAAATTAATCAAAATACCGAATATTGAAAGGTACAGTTATATGGGAGCTATACGAAGTCTTGGACCTGCATAGACAATTTGCTTTCATAGATTGAAGTACCCATTCAAGGACCTTCAAGTTCGAAACATGAAACACTTCTGATAAATAATGTCGCCAAAGTCATAAAAATACAGAATATCGGGAAGTATCGTTATATGGGGCTATATGAAAACGTGAACCGACATGACCCATCTACGAACTTAACCTACTGGAAAAATACACATGTGTGCAAAATGTTAGCCTTCTATCACAATTTGTTCCAAAGATAGCGTGATTACAACAGACAGGCCTACTGACATCGCTAAATTCGCATCGAATGTTACGTTAATCAAGAATAAATGTACTTTGTTGGGTCTGACTTAAGTATTTCGAGGAGTTAAAAACGGAATAATTTCATGGAATGGTGGAGGGTATAAAATGAAAAATCACTTAGCATATGACACAGAGATTATGTGCGTATACTAGCCTTTGATTCTAAAATTTGTAAAACTAAGGCTACTAAACTAAGGGCTCAGGGTTCGTAAAGGGTGGAATGAAAAAACTGCAACCAAATTCAGACTGCTGTCATTGCTAAGCCATTCGTCCGACAGCTGTTAAAATTATTCCAGTGACAGCTTATTATGTTGTTTACAAGCGTACAAAAGCATTTTGGTGGGAACTTTCCAGAAAAAAGTTATTGATGATGGAATTCAAGCGTGATAGTGTGATTTCTTCATATTTGGCTGGAAAACCACAAGAGGCTATCGTTGGAGCACTCCAGCATTTAAATGTGAATAAATCTTTTGGGTCTCGTACAATCACTCGTTACCGCGATACTAGTAGCGTAGCGGAAGAAAACAGCAACATCAGCAGAAATGGTTCGAAAAGTAAAGAAGCGGCATGATCAAAACCCAGTGGCCGAAAAATTGCTCGTGAGCTGAACATATCGCAATATTCCATTTGGCAAATACTAAACAATGAGCTCGGGGTAAAGCCATTGAAATTCCGAAAAGTGCAAGAACTTACACCGCAGCAGAAAGAAAATAGACTCAAAAGAGCTAAAGAGTTGCTTCGCTTGGCCGAAAGTGGTGAACTGCCGAATTTGGGTTTTTCCGATGAGAAAACATTCGTTGTCCAGCAATTTGTAAACAAACCAAATGATCGTGTTTACTTGCCAAAGAGGTCAGCTGAAAATGTGCACCTTCGGTTGGTCATCAGAACTCAAACGCCGGCCATCGTGATGGCCGATGGTCGCTCTCCGCTAGTATTTATCGACCGTGGCATCAGAATAAATGCCGGATATTATCGCGAAAATATTCTGGAGGGTGTATTAAAGCCTTGGGCATGCAAAAATATTGGCCTTAGACCTTGGACATTCCAACAGGACTCAGCTCAGCAAAAATGGTTACAAAAGGAGGTTCCTTGCTTCATTTCCAGCGCACAATGGCTACCAAAATCCCCGGATACCAATCCGTTGGACTATTGTGTCTGGAGTATTTTGGAAAGCAAGGTTGGCACTAAAATATACCAAAGTGTCGATCGCCACAAGCAAGCGCTTCGCCGGGAATGGGCTAAAATACCGCAGAGCAACATTCGGGTAGCGTGTGACGGTTTCATTGGCCGTTTGAAAGCCATAATTCGTGCCAAAGGCAACTTATTCTTAAATTTGATGCTATTTCCCACATTTTTGATTTCATTCAATAAAATTAAAAAAAAAAAAATGTAAAAATTAGGGCGTTTGACTTTGTTGAGTATTTTTGTGGGGGCTATCTTAAAGCTCATATCTATATAGACGAGTCCGCCTCAATTGACGCATGAAAGACAACATTGAAGCATTTTTTTTTTTGTGAAATACCGACCGAAATATTGTAAAGAGTATGTCAAAATTGGACTAAGCGGATGGACCATTTGCATAATATAATCTTCAAACATTAAGTTACCGTATTATCATTTCCAAAAAATATTTCTTACAGTGTCCAACAGTGACCTTAATATCAAATCTCAGATTTTCAGCACTTTATTATCCCCCATTACCAAATTTAGTAACTCTTAGTACAATTATAATACGTATTTCCGAAACCCTCACCTCCAATTTCAACCTCAGATACCAACAAAGAACTCAATATCAAATTTGAGGATTCCAGCCCTATCCCTCCACCCGATATCCAATTTAGTACCACTCAGTACTTTTGCATGAATAAATCTTTAATTCTTAAATTATTTGGACTCCACTCTCAACTCAAATAAAGATTTCATGAATTTTTTGTTTTGAATCATTTCCTATAGCCCTTCAAAAATCACCCTTTGCCTCCCATTTCATGTTTTCTTTTTATTTTTAGAAAATAATTTTGGTGTGGAAGTTATGACCATACAGGTTGATTTTTCTCACGGACCCGAAATCTATCCAAAACTTTTTGAGGAGTTGTCGAAAAAACCCATTGGGTTGCTTGGTGAGTGAATCAAACAAAGGTTCATATTTTATTATTTAATTGTTTTTTTTTTTTAATTTCCAGTCAACAATGTTGGCATCTACACCGATAAGCCCAATCTCATGTGGTCCTACCCGAACAAACTTATCTGGGATATGATTTATGTCAACATGGCTGCAGCCACTGAAATGAGTCTTCACTTTGTCCGAGTCTGGCAAGCCGATGGAACAAGAGGTTGCATTGTAAATATATCCTCATGTCTGGAATCACATCCAACACCTTATGGGGGCATATATAGTGCCACCAAGGCCTATATGCGTAATTTTACCACAACGTTGCAGCATGAAGTTCGGCACTTGGGTATCACCGTACAATTACTGTCGCCCTTCTTTGTGTCTACGAAACTTTTGGATTTTTCAACGTGGTTGCGAAGAGGTAATATTTTTATTCCATCCTGTGATGTTTATGTCCGGCATGCCATACGGACGTTGAGTAAAGTTGATGCAACCACTGGGTATTTTTGGCACAGCATACATGTGAGATAGAGCTATTAATTAATTGCAATTCAAATTAGATTTCAATTCATCTATTTTTTTATGTTTGAAGGATATGTTATTTAGGTTGGTGCCATATCAACATCGGCCCAAAGTTATGGCCTTCTTTGGGAAATGCTTTATCGACGATTTTACGGAGATTAATGCACAACTTAACAACGAGAAAGTAGTGAATGCTAAAAACGATAACAGTCAAACGAGATAACTATACGACCGCAATGTTAGCTTCCAGCGCAGTTGAAGGCCATAACTCGTGTCCAAGGTGAACAATTTGAACAAATCTAAACTTACTCTAAAATTTGATGTTATTTCCGGCATTTTCTGCTTTCTTTCAATAAAATTAAAAAAAAATGTGAAAATTGTGGCGTTTGACTTTGTTGCAGTTTTTTTATCTCACTCTGTATATAACAATTTTGCAGATAATACATCCATATCTCAATAACCAATTTAGTACCACTTAATACTTTTCTTACAAGTATAGTACACATTTCCAAAGCCACCTCCATGTCCCCATTCTACATCAAATCTTGTACCACTTTGTACAATGTAAGTACATATTTTCAAAACCTGCCTTATATTTCAATCCTAGATACCAGCAGAGACCTCAATATAAAATTCGAGGATTTCGACCTTTAAACCCATACGAAACATAGCACCATTTAGTACTTTTCGTACAAATATAGGAGGTTTTTCCAAACCTTCACAAAATCTGAAACACAGATACCATTTATAATTTAAATTTAAAATTTTATTTTAACTCTTTCCCTTCTGCCAATAGCAAATGCAGGACCATTTAGTACTCTTCGTGAAATTATGGTACACATTTCCAAAACCAACTACATATCTCAATCTCAGATACCAACAGACCTCAATATCAAATTTTGGGATTCCAGCTCTATGCCTTTACGCAGTACCAAATATAGTACCATTTTGTACTTTTCGAACAATTAAAGTACGTAGTTGCAAAACAACCACCAGATCTAAACACCAAATACCAACAGAGGCCTCAATATCAAATTTTTAGGATATCAGGTCTATCCCTTCACCCAATACCCAATTTGGTACCACTTAGTACCTTTCGAGCAATTATAGTACAATTCAGTATTCTTCGTACAATTATGGTACGCATACCACCGAAACCACCTTCATATGTCTAGGCTACACATGAATATCGACTCTAATACCAAATTTTAAATTTCAAGCAATATATTTTCAGCCAATACCAAATTGTACCAAACATAGTACTATTTAGTGCTTTTCGTACACTTGTAGTTCACATTTTCTAAAAAAAAGTTTTTACCACCTACCACCAAAAGGGTCCCCAATAAAAATTTTTCAAAATTCCATCTTCATCCGTTCACCATTAACCAAATTGATCCAAAAATAGTACCATTTAGTACCGCTAGCACGCTTAGTACACATTTCCAAAACCACCATATAATTTATCAAACTTACTTTCCAACCTTGATTCTCATACCACATTTCAAGTTTTGAACTCAATCCGTTCACATAATACCAAATGGTACCATTTTAAACATTTTGGGAACTAAAAACTTCGTAACGACAGGTTTTCTTGCCTTGAGCTGGAGTAGCTCGCCGGGGACCAGTGGTTTGTTCAGAAATTTATTTCTTTTCAAACAGAAAGAGAAAGACAGTTGTTTTCGTTTGATATTACGTTTTATTGTTGAATAAACTTATACTGTACTTATTCTATGGTAAGTATAACTTATCCTACTCCTCTTAGATCCGGAATCGATACTTCGACATAAGACCTTGATAAGTACTCGAGACACGGAACAGGGAAGCTGGAATTAGTCATAAGGATTAGAGATGGTGTATTCAAGACCGCAGAATGGATTTTATGCGAGAGTCCGTGATGAGTACTCAAGCAGAACCTATGAGGGAGTGCAAGTCTATGTACACAGGGGAATCAACACGTATGACTACAGGGATATTCAACGATACGGTTACAAAAGACATTAACAAATACTCGGGCAGACTACAAGGATATTTAAAGGTAGGGTTGCAAGCGACTTCAATAAGTATTCAAGCAGACTACTAGGATGTTCTAGAAAAATGAAAGGACATACAAAGGATGTCAACGGATTTCCACAAGAATTTTCAAGGAGACCTAAAAGATATGCAAGTATGTCTAGAGGATACACAAGGGTGTTCAAGGATACCCAACTGAGGGTTGTTTCACTTACCGAGGTGGACGTTGTTTCTTTACTAGTCTAGTGTTGACTGTTCCGATTCTGTCATCGTCCGTCATTTTATACCTGACTTGAAAATAACGAAGAATTTTCGCCTTCACAAGTTCAAACTGTACTCCGTCTGTTACGCTCATTTCCAATACAAAGAATTCAATTTATTGTACATTCTAGCACGGTCGGTTTTGCCAATAGATGTATACCCTCAGCCAATGCTCGTAAATATATTTTGACTTCTCTTATGATTATTCGAATTGTTGACCCGCAGGTTCCATAGGAATGGGCCAATATTGACCATTTCGTATCGGACCTAAATAAATATGATATAAATGTTGATTAAAATATAAAGATATGCGAAGTCCGAACGGAATCGGATGATAATTTTGCGTTTTATGAGCGCCATTGATATTCAAAATTTTGATTCTTTGGGGGGGAGATACCAGAAGGAGTGGACCGATATATTCGATCTTCACAGCAGATCTTGTGTTAATAAAAATAATGGGATGTGAGAAATATGAAGAGAACCGAATGCTAATTTCGGATTTTATGATCGTTTTGGTTATTCAAATTTTTGACTCTATGTGAGGGAGGTACCAGAATTAATGGACCGATGTCTACCATCTTTATAACAGATATTGTGTTGATGGAAATATTGAGATGTGTCAAGTCTGAATGGAAACGGATGTTAATTTCGTGTTTTATTCAAAATTTTACCCTTTGTGGCGGAGGCACCAAAAGGCACTAAGAGAAGACCGATATATTCCATCTAAACACCAGACCTTGGGTTAGTAAAAATATTGTGATGTGTTTAATTTAAAAACAATCGTACTCTTACATCACATTTTATAAGATTTATAATTATTCAAAATTTTGACCCGTTGTGGGGAGGTACTTGATGAAGTGGACCGATATTGACCATTTTTGCACCTGACCTACCACTGATGCAAATATTCCGATGTTGCCCATCTCACAATATTACGATGTACCAAGTTTGGATTGAATCGGATATTTTTGGGTAGGTCGGTTCCAATTGATCTGAAAGGAGTTTGGTCGGAGAAAACCTAGGGTCTAAAACGGTTATTTCGGTGAGGCACGTTGTGGCCCTATCAAATGATATATACCCTCTCTAGGGTATAAAAAGTGTTTTTAATGTTTTTCTTTGTATTTTGGGACCCATGGTAGAATTGTATAGCAAATAAATTTGTAGAATATTTTTACTTTCTACTATCACGTTTTATAGCAGCTTTAAAAAAGAGACCAAACAATTCCTTTTATGATCTTAATATTGTTTCTGTAAAATTGTCGAAGACATTTCAAACCGGCAATGTAAAGAAATCTTAATCCGAAAAATGTTAAAAAAATGTGGAAGAGGGTGGAACTTGCTCCTCTATTCGGTGTACTCTACTATGTAACTCTCAAAACGTCGATAAACGACTCTTCTATTTTTAGCCCCACTTTCATTATCTATTAGGTTTTTCCTTGATTTATTGAAAATATTGAATTTTTGTAGCACAGTGTAACCAAAAAAGTATATGAATAACACTAACAGTGGTCCATTTTTGGCCATCCGGGGTTACAATGTAAATCCTGTGAAAATAAGGCTTTTCCTAATTTGGAACATTTAAAAGTGAATTTCATTAAGCCTAAGACAGCATATTTTCTCTAAATAATTGAATGAATTGAAACTATTATAGCATCCGCCTCTTATTTATTGTGGTGCTGAAAATCAAAACATTCTACACCAACGTCCAACGTCACAATTCAATTACTTGAATCAAAATCCACATTTAATAATTTATGTAAAATTATTATCAAACTAGTTTGTTTGTAATTCCATTGAATCAATAATAAAAACACGTACTACTAATGACTGCTACTAAAGTTCATGCTTAGGGGTTTTCATAATCAGTATGAAATTACAGTTTGCTCATTCAACATGCCAGACATTCGACCGCTGCCGGAGGAATTGCAAAAAAATGCAATCACAGAATTGGGAGAAGTACCAGAGAGAATTGCCGAGGATCTGAATGTTCTCAAGGCATGGATACGACAACAGCCCCACTTGAAGGCCTGCATGGAAGATCAATTTCTAATACAATTTCTTCGTGGCAGTAAATATAGTTTGGAAAAGGCAAAAGAAAAACTAAACAATTTCTATACGCTCTCGGCGAAATCACCACATTTGCGATCTATGGAAGATGTAGATAATCCAATATTTCGTAAGATTCATAGAACTGGGTAAGAAAAGATTATTTGAGTAAATATTTTGTTGTCATTTCAAATATTTCATAAAAACAAAACAAGTAAAAAAGCTGTAGGCTCGGCCAGGCCGAACTTTAAAAACCCTCCACCATTTGGAACGAATTTGGCAATTTTCAAAAAAAAAAATAAATAAATAAATAAATAACAATAAAATCCATCTTCAATATGCCCTTAAAATCTTAAAAATTCAGAATGTAGCCGTTATATTAGGGTCTATACGACGTGGACCTGCATAGGCAACTTTGGTCATGAGCCACTACAATATTCAAATGTACCGAAAAATATCTGTGAATAATGTAGCTAAAATCATAAAATACCGAATATCGGGAGGTACCGTTATATGAAGACTATACGAAGACGTGGATCTGCACAGACAATTTTCTGTCATAGGCTGTAGTATCAATTTTGAACTTCAAATACAAAATTTGAACCAATTCCGGTAAATAATGTCGCTTAAATCACCAAAATACCGAAAATAGGGAGGTACCATTATATGGGGGATATAGTAAAACGTGGACCAACATGGCCATTTTAAATACCAAAAGTCATGCAGACATAATATACATTTGAGTAAAAATTTATCAACCTACATCAATTCGTGAAATTTGAAGAGAATCGGATATTTATTTCGCATTTTATGAGATATTTAAATATTCAACATTTTGACCCTTTGTGGGGGAGATACCAGAATAAGTGATCTTATATATTTCTTCTTCACACCTGATTATGTGTTGATAGAAATACTGGAATGTGTAAAATTTGAAGGGAATCGGATGCTTAGATTGCAAACTATAAGAGGTATAATTATTTAAAATGTTGACCCCTTTTGTGGTGGAGCTACCAGAAGGAGTGGACCGATATATTTCATCTTAAAGCCAGATCTTGTGTTTGTAAAAATATTGGGAATTGTGAAATTTGAATAGAATCGGATGCTTATTTTGTATTTTATGAAAGATATATTTATTCAAAATTTTGACCCCTTTGTGGGGGAGGTACGAGAAGAAGTGGACCAATATATCCCATCTTCATAGCTGATCTTGTGTTAGTAGAAACAATGGGATGTGCCAAATTTCGCATTTTATAAGAGATTTAATTATTCAAAAATATGACCCGTTGTGGGGAAGGTACCTCAAGGATTGGACCGATACATTTCGTCTTCACACCAGGTCTTGTGTTAGTAGAAATAATGATATATGCTTAGTTTGACAGGTATCGGTCATCATTTCGCATACGACCTTCAGAGTTGTTCGAAATTTTGACCCTTTGTGGGAGAGGTACCAGAAGAAGTGTTCTGATGTATTTCATCTTAACACCAGGTCTTGTGTAAGTAGAAATATTGGTATGTGTGAAATTTGAAGACAATCGCGCTCTTATTTCACCTTTTTTATACCCTACACCATATAATGGTAAGGGTATTATGTCTTTGTGCATTTGTTTGTAACATGGAGAAGGAAGCGAGATAGACCCATAGTTACTTTTGAGGATCTGGATAGAATCACTTTCAGAGTTGATTTATGCATGTCAGTCCGTCTGTCCATGTATTCTTGTGAACAAAATGCAGGTCGCATATATTATCCGATTGAGATTAAATTTTCCAAACAACATTTGTTTGTCCCAAGGACGAACCCTATTGAAATTGGAGATAATCTGTAAAAATTTAGATATAGCTCCCATATATATCTTCGTCCGATTTGCCTTTAATTGTGCACCAAACGTGTAATATCAGTCCGAATAGTATGGAATTTTGCACGTACGATCAGATTGGACCTGAAAATAAGTATGCCAAATTTGATCGAAATCGGTTCAGATATAGCTATAGCTCCCATATATATTGTTCATCCGATTTGTTATTTTGTCCTCCGTAGCCGTAATATGCACTCTGTAACAACAAAATTTGGGGAAATATATCAAATACAGCTCAGAAATACATTTGCTAAATTTTATCGAGATCGGTTCAGATTTGGATATAGCTCCCATACATAACTTGGTCCGATTTCCCTTTTATTGTGCACCAGCGTCTAATATTTGTCCAAATGGGAAGGAATTTGGCACATATGACCAAATTGAGTCTAGAAACTAGTATGTCAAATTTGGTAAATATCGGTTCAGATATAGCTATAGCTCCCATATATACTATTTATCCGATTTGTTATATTTGTTACCCACAGCCGTAATATGCACTCCGTAACAACGATATTCAGGAAAATATATCAAATACAGCTCAGAAATATTTTTGCCGAATTTTATCCAGATCGGTTCCGATTTGGCTATAGCTTCCATATATATCTTTATCCGATTTCAAATTAATTGTGCACCAAATGGGCAACACAAGTCCGAATTTAAAAGATACAAATGTTTCGGCATATTTAGTCTTTTGAACTTTAAATTATAATTATAATCATAGCGTGTATGATTGAATTCTCCCATAAAAAACTTTTAATTGTTATGTGGAACTCTACTAAATTAGCAAAGTGGTGTAGGGTATCATAAAGTCGGCACCGTCCGACATTAGGACTTTCTTCACCGGTTTTTAATGTTATAAATATTCCAAATTTCGACCCTTTGGTCCTTTGGTCCAAAGAAACCTAGGGTCTAAAATCGTTATTTCGATGAGGCACGTTTTGGCCGTATCAAATGACATATACCCTCTGCAGCCACGTGGCTGAGAGTAATAATCAATCTCGGAAGAATGAAATATAATTTGCTAAAACAAAAAAAAAAAAATTATAAAATCATTATCACTAACTTTGAGACATTGCACAAACAACTACTGTGTTGTTGGTTATAAAACATTTAATTGATTACGTCACCTTTTTAGAAAAAAAAATATTGCATTGACTAGTTTGTTACAGTAGAACTGTTCGGACATTTTTACTTATTCGAGATTCAAATGTCCATACAGCTGCCAAAACTATATTTCATTCGAAATTTTATTATTTTTCAGATGTCTTATCCTCCTACCGACACCATTGATGGAGCATGGTCCCCGCATAATAGTCGAGCAAGTGAGTTATGAGCCCTACGAGTTTACAAACACCGAAATCTCACGTTACATCTGGACCATGGCGGAAATTGTGCTACAGAGCGATCCCTATGCCTGCGTTCAAGGTTTGGTCATTGTTTCGGATTTATCCAAAGTGACAATGCAACATTTGCGTCAACTGACACCGAAAATGATACTGGAGGTGATGCGGTTCAGCGAAAAGGCATTGCCGTTGCGCATCAAAAGGCTATTGATTTTAAATTGTCCATCTTTGGTGAAGACTTTGCTCAATTTCGCTCTGTCATGTTGTTCGGAAAAGTTGCGCAAGCGAGTGAGTAATTCTAAAGCTTCGATGGAAGAACAATTTTTTAATTTTTCGTTTTCTTTTGATTTTTTAGATCCATATCTCCAATGGCAATAATATTGAAAAATTCGCCGACGTTTTTCCCAAGAAATATCTTCCGCGAGATTTTGGCGGCGAAAACTCTTCACTGGAAAATGCTTGCAGGGAATATGAAAAAGTCATCGATGAGCATCGAGATTATTTTAAGCGTAATGCGGAGTGCGGAATCGTTGAAAGATTGCGAAGAAAGAAAAATTAATGTTTATTTTTTGTTTTAATTTCTAAGTTTATTTTGTATTTTCACCAAGTGGTCCTGATTTTAAAGGTTCCGCAATCCAAAGTTTTTTATTCCCTCAACCATACATAGTATGGAGGGTATATATAGTTCGTCATTCCGTTTGTAACTCATCGAAATAATAATTTTAGATTTATGTATATTCTTGATCAGGGCAAAATTCTAAGACGATTGAGCCCTCCCTCTAGGCCTACGATATTCGTTATTTTAATGATTGTATCCAAATTGTTGAATGGAATTGTATGAAAATTCACACCTGAAATTCGTTCTGAGCACTTTACCCCCTGGAACTTGGAAAATTAAAAAAATCTACGAACAATTAAAAAAGTATCAGCCGGTTTTACTGACATTTGTAAACCCTCAACCAATATTGAATTATTATCATTTCACCTTCTTTGAGGGTTTGGTTTTTCAAAAGTCTGGAACCCTGTGTTGGGGGAGGTACCAGAAGAAATGGTCCGATCTCTACCATCTATATAACACATCTTGTTTTGATGGAAATATTGAGATGTGTCAAGTCTGAATGTAATCGAATGTCAATTTAGCGTTTTATAAGCATAATGGATATTAAAGAGTTCGACCCTTACTGGTGGAGGTTCTAGAAGGAGTGGACCGATATATTCCATCTTTACAGCAGATCTTGTGTTAGAAGAAATAATGCGGTGTGTGAAATATGAAGAGAACCGGATGCTTATTTCGTATTTTATGATCGTTTTTGTTATTTAAAATTTTGACCCTTTGTGAGGTACCTGAGAAGTTGAACGATATATTCTACTTTCACACCAGACCTTGGGTTAATAAAAAAATTGTGATGGGTGTAATTTGAAGACAATTGGACTCTTACATCACATTTTATAAGAGTGATTGCTATTCAAAATGTTGCCCCTATGTGGGGAAGGTACTTGATGGATTGGACCGATGTTGTCCATTTTTGCACCTGACTAGCAAATATTAGGATTTGCAAAGTTGGAGTAAAATCGGATTATTCATTGTCTTTCTGTGCAGTGAAATATTTTTTTTTTTTAAATTTCAACCTTTTGTGGGGAAGTACCAGAAGAAGTGGAGCGATATTTACCATCTCCGAACTCGATCAAAGTTTAATAATAATATTATGATGTACCTAGTTTAGACTGAATTGGATACTCCCTTCGAGAACCAGGCATACAGACGGACGGACGGACATCGCTAGATCGAATTCAAATGTCCTGAAACGGATTTGGTCTAAAGAAACCCAGGGTCTAAAACTGTTATTTCGATGCTGTACGTTTCGGCCGTGTCAAATGATATTTACCCTCTGTAGCCACATGGCTGAGGGTATAAAAATACCGTTTAAATGAAACGCTATACGAGGATCTGCAAACGCTATTTTTTTGTCATAGACTATAGTACCCATTAGGACCTTCAAATGCGAATTTTAAAACAATACCATTAAATAACGTTGCTAAATTCATCAAAATACCGAAAAAAGGAGTTACATTTTTTTGGGGTACACGAAAACGTGCATAGACAATTTTTGCTATAGGTTAAAGTACCCATGATGAACTTCAAATACGAAATTCGTTCGGAGGATAATGCCGCTTTGATCATCAAAATATCTAGTACCGTTATATAAGAGGCTATACGAAGACGAAGTTTGTAGTACTAATTAGGACCTTCAAATGCGAATTTTAAAACAAATCCGCTGAACAATGCCGCTAATATCATGAAATTACCGAATTTAGGGGGGGGGGGGGGGGTACAGTTATATTAGCGCTTTACGAAAACGTGGATCAGTATACGCAATTTTCTGTCATAGGTTGAAATTTCCAATACACATTTTAAATATGAAATTTGAAACAATTTCAATCTATAGTACGGCAAAATTACCATATAAAATAGCGTGATAACAACAGACAGGCAAGCGGATAACAACAGACAGGCAAGCGGACACTAAATCGACTTACAACTTTACGCTGCTCAAGAATATATATACTTTGTTGGGTCTAACAGGAGTATTTCGAGGTGTTACAAACGAAATGATAAAGTTAACAAGTTAAAAAGCAGTAAATTCGGCCGGCCGAACTTTGAATACCCTCCACCATTTGGAACGAATTTGGAAATAAAATCCTGAAAAAAACTTTTGGTAAAACTTTAAAAATACCGAATATTGTCATTTTATTGGTGCCTATACGACGTAGACCCACACAGGCATTATTTGTCATGAGTCATTACCAAATTCAAATTCGGAACTTGAAATAAACGATGAATAATGTATCTAAAATCATCAAAATATAGAATATAGGGAGGTACCGTTTTATCGGAGCTGTGCGAAGACCTGAACCTGCGTAGACAATTTTTTGTAGCATCCATTACGAACTTCAAATACGACATTTCAAACAATTTCGGTGAGTATTGTACCTAAACTCGTCAAAATACCGAATATAGGGAGGTTCTGGTATATGGGGCCTATACGAAGACCTGGACCTGCATAAACAATTTTTTGTCACACGTAATTTGAAAAAAATTTTGGTGAATAAAGACGCTAAAATCACCAAAATACCGAATATAGGAAGGTACCGTTATATGGGGGCTATACGAAGACGTGGACCTGCTCGGACAATTTTCTGTCTTAGGCTGTAGTATCCATTTCGAACTTCAAATACCAAATTTGAAACAATTTCGGTGAATAATGTCGCTAAAATCATCAAAATACCGAATATCGGGAGGTACCGTTATATGGGGGCTATATGAAAACGTGGACCTACATGGCCCATTTACGAACTTAACATGCCTACTGTAAAAATAAATCTGTCTGCATAATTTTAGCCTTGTATCTCAATTCGTTCAAAAGATAGCGTGATTACAACAGATAGACGGACATCGCTAAATCGACTTAAAATTTTACGCTCATCAAGAATATATACTTTGTTGGGTCTGACATGAGTATTTCGAGGAGTTACAAACGGAATGACAAAGTTAATATATCATCCATAGTATGGTGGAGGGTATAATATACCCTCCATAGTATGGTGGAGGGTATAAAAATTGTGGGAAGCGCCTAAAAGTATACTACAAGCATGGAATATATAAATCTAGAAAAGGCACAATACTTTAACCCTCCCACGGTTAAGTCATCCGTACCCCTCATTTGAAGTATGAAAATTGTCCCTCGTCTATCTCTTTGTTCTTAGTTCTTCCTGGGCACATATGAACATTGCGCTATATCGCTTTCGTTGAAGCGAATAATGGGAGCGTAAGATTTTGTTTGCAATTCTTGAGGCACACGTGTCTAATTCGATTATGGTTTCAATATATGCGAGGTTCTTCTCGATCAAAGTATGCGCCAAATCTAAAGTTGTGAAAAATTGCTGACATAAATAAATATTCCAATATCTCGCAGAAAGTTGAAGTACACTATTCTGAACTTGATTCAGCTCGCTTGACTGTTCTGGCCATATCCCAGATTAATCATTCCATGGACAGTATGAAATGGTTTAGAGTCTCACATCCAACATGTATTTACACCGTATTTGGAGGGCTTCATGTAAAACAAGTGCGGCATACGATAAAATGGACAGCCCGTTGGTCGCCATATCTTTTCACTATTCGATTCAGTGAGTACATAATAGCCAAAAAAGACTCGAAGGTGGTCATATGCAGTTCCATTTGCAAGTCAAGTTCCTCCATTATGAGCAAAAAACTTGGATATTATCTCACGGTTCACCATTCACAGCTACATTACGATTGACAGCATCTTTGAAGAAGTACGAACCAATGATATCACCAATCTATAAACCGTAAAAAACAGTGCATTTTTTCTGGATGCTTTCGTTGCTTTTGTAATGTTTTTTGGCTGATCTTCACTTCAAAATCGACAATACTGCTTGTTCTAAAAATGATTTTCGTTGATGTATAAAATTTATCGCTTTAGAACTTTTAACAGGAATTCATTTAATAAAAAAATAAATAATTTGCAAGCCTTGTTCGTTTCGAAGACAATTCATGATTAAATTATAAACAAATTGAAGACGTTTGACAGTGAAACAAAACACGAAATATGCGTGAGCTCTTTAAACCATTGTTCCCATTAAGATAATAGCTTAACAATCAGCATTTATTCAACAATTCATTGTAGGGTAAGTGCGCCAAAATTCGGCATGTCGGCATTTTTGAAATTTAAACTTAAATAACTAAGAACAGAATTGATCAAATAATGAAATAATTCTCCTTTCATCTCTTTCTGCAAAAAAACAAAAAAAAAAAAACAATGAGCTCCGGTCATTTATTACGAGAGAATATCGGGTTTCGTCAGTGAGTGTCTTCCAACGCGTACGATAGTGCTTGTTTGTAAGAAAAAAATAGTGGTGGAGTCAACTAAATAATCGATTTAAGTAAATAAAATGTAATACTTTTGGAATCAAAAATATTTTATAATAGTAAATAACAGTCTAAAACTCATTGTATAACTTAAAAAAAAAAAAACATACATAATCAAGCATTTATATTATTTAATGCCAACATTATGAACTGAAAAAAAAAGAGATTTGTCAGTAGTCGGCAGGGGGTGCCGATTACTAGAAAAATATCATTTTTGACCAATTTCACCAAAACTATGGGAGCTATAGCTATATATGAACCGATCTACACCAAATTTGACATACTAGCTTCTAAACTCAATTCGGTCGTAAGTGCAAAATTTCATCCAATTTGGGCAAATATTAGACATTTGGTGAACCATCAAAGTAAATCGGACGAAGTTATATATGGGAGCTATATCCAAATCTGAACCGATCTCGATAAAATTAAGCAAAGGTATTTCTGAGCTGCATTTGATATATTTCCCCAAATATTGTTGTTACAGTGTGCATATTACGGCTGCGGAGAACAAAAATTACAAATCGGATGAACAATATATATGGGAGCTATAGCTATATCTGAACCGATCTTCACCAAATTTGGCATACTACCTTCTAGCCTCAATTCAGTCGTATGTGCCAAATTCCATCCCGTTTGGGCAAATATTAGACGTTTGGTGCACAATAAAAGGTAAATCGGACGAAGTTATATATGGGAGCTATATCCAAATCTGAACCGATCTCGATAAAATTAAGCAAAGGTATTTCTGAGCTGCATTTGATATATTTCCCCAAATATTGTTGTTACAGTGTGCATATTACGGCTGCGGACTACAAAAAAATCGGATGAAACATATATATATATGGGAACTATAGCTATATTTGAACCGATTTCGATCAAATTTGGCATACTTATTTTCAGGCCTGATTTGGTTGTGTGTGCGAAATTCCATACTATTCGGGCTGATATTACACGTTTGGTGCACAATAAAAGCAAATCGGACGAAGATATATATGGGAGCTATATCTAATTTTTTACCGATTATCTCCAATTTCAAATGGGGTTTGTCCTTGGGCCAAACAAATGTTGTTTGAAAAATTTCATCTCAATCGGATAATAAATGCGACCTGCATTTTGTCCACAAGAATACATGGACAGACGGACGGACGGACGGACGGACGGACTGACATGCAGAAATCAACTCATCAAAAGGAACTATGGGTCTATCTCGTTTCCTTTTTGCCTGTTACAAACAAATGCACAGAGACATAATACCATGACCACCTTGTGGTGTAGGGTATAAAAACTATGTCTTGTATTTAGTTACATCTTAAACAATATATTTTCTCTATACCCGTGAAAGAAGTTCCCTAAAATTTTATATGCATAGCTCTATTATTATAGTTTATTGGCACCAGGTTAAAAACCTAAACATTGTATACAAAGTCACCGTCACGTTTCAAAATCCACAACAATCTATTTGAATTTTTTATCACCCAAACCTGTTTGTCATTTTATTAAATCATAGAAAACAACAAAAACTTCGACGTGTTCTAATAAAGTTTGTGTTCAACTTGGGGTATTGAATAGTTTCAACTCACAGTTTGTTTATTCAACATGCCAGACATACGACCGCTACCGGAGGAATTGCAAAAAATTGCAATTACAGAATTAGGAGAAGTACCAGAGAGAATTGCCGAGGATCTACATGTTCTCAAGGCATGGATACGGCAACAACCACACCTGAAGGCCTGCATTGAAGATCTATTTCTGATACAATTTCTTCGTGGCAGTAAATATAGTTTGGAAAAGGCCAAAGAAAAGCTGAGCAATTTCTATACGCTCTCTGCGAAATCACCGCATTTGCGAAGTATGGCAGATGTAGACGATCCAACATTTCGCAGGGTTCACCGAACTGGGTAAGACAAGATGTTTTATTGAATATTTTGTTGTCATAAAAAAAATATTTTACAAAAAAATAATACATCTCTGAAGAGTGAAATGTGAAGATACATATTTATAAGCATTTGCAAAAAAAAAACTAGTAACGTAGCTAATTGCTAATTTTGAGACACTATACGAAAAAAAAAAACATTGTATTTCGATTTCAATTAATTGTTTACTTTGACATTGCAATAATTTGTAACAATTTTGAATAACTTGTTACTTAATGTTGCATGATAAAATCAAAAGTCCAGTGGATGGGAGCGAGTTGGGAGAGCAATTTTGTCAACTGAATTATTGAGAGTTTGCAAATTCTCACTGAGAATTTTCCAATTACATCAGCTGATTGAAAATAAGATGTTTTGGGGTCATAGTAAAAATATTTATAAATTTCAGGAAATAATTTAAATAAGTTCCAAACCGGAAATTTTACAAATAATCGATTTTCACGATTTTAAACGAAAAACTCGTTTGATTATATTTTTATACCCTACACCACAAGGTGGTCAGGGTATTATGTCTTTGTGCATTTGTTTGTAACATGGAGAAGGAAGCCAGATAGATCCATAGTTATTTTTGAGGATCTCCATAGAATTACTTTCTGAGTTGATTTATGCATGTCAGTCCGTCTGTCCGTCCGTCCGACCGTCTGTCCATGTATTCTTGTGAACAAAATGCATGTCGCATTTATTATCCGATTAAGATGAAATTTTGCACAAATCATTTATTTGGCCCATGGCCGAACCCTATTGAAATTGGAAATAATCGGTCAAAATTTAGATATAGCTCCCATACATATCTTCGTCCGATTTATCTTTTATTGTGCACCAAACGTGTAATATCAGCCCGGATAGTATGGAATTTTGCACATACAATCAAATTAGGCCTGAAAATAAGTATGCCAAATTTGATCGAAATCGGTTCAGATATAGCTATAGCTCCCATATATATTGTTCATCCGATTTGTTATTTTTGTCCTCCGCAGCCGTAATATGCACCCTGTAACAACAATATATGGGGAAATATATCAAATGCAGCTCAGAAATACATTTGCTAAATTTTGTCGAGATCGGTTCGGATTTGGATATAGCTCTCATATATAACTTCGTCCGATTTACCTTTTATTGTGCACCAAACATCTAATATTTGCCCAAATGGGATGGAATTTGGCACATGCGACCGATTTGAGTCTAGAAGCTAGTATGTAAAATTTGGTAAAGATCGGTTCAGATATAGCTATAGCTCCCATATATATTGTTCATTCGATTTGTTGTATTTGTTGCCCACAGCCGTAATATGCACTCCATAACAACGATATTCAGGGCAATATATCAAATACAGCTCAGAAATAGCTTTGCTAAATTTTATCGAGATCGGTTCAGATTTGCATATAGCTCCCATATATATTTTTATCCAATTTTAAATTTGTTGTGCACCAAATGGCCAATACAAGTCCGGATTTAAAAGATACAAATGCTTCGGCAAATTAAGTCCTTTGAACTTTAAATTATAATTATAATCATAGCGTGTATGATTGAATTCTCCTATAAAAACTTTTAATTGTTATGCGGAGCTCTACTAAATTAGCAAAGTGGTGTAGGGTATCATAAAGTCCGCACCGCCCGACTTTAAGACTTCCTTTACTGGTTTGTCATTAAGAACATTTCAGAAAAAGAAAATAATAATAAATCTCTGAAGAATGAAATGAGCACATAAATATTTATAAGCGTTTGAAAAAAATAGTAACGTCGCTAATGGCTAATTTTAAGTCGATATAAAACAAAAACATTGTATTTGGTTATAAATTAATTGTTTAGATTGACAATGCAATTATTTGTAACAATTTCAATAAATTGTTACTAAATGTTGCATGATAATACCAAAAGTCCAGTGGATGAGAGAGAGTTGGGAGAGCAATTTTGCCAATTGAATTACTGAGAGTTTGCAAATTCTCATTGAGAATTTTTGAGGTCGATGTGAAAATGTTTATAAATTTCAGAAAATATTTTAAATGAGGTCGAGACCAGAAGCAATACGGATAATCGATTTTCATGGTTAAACGAATAACAAGTTTGATTATACATTTTTATACCCTCCACCACACGTAGAACGGAGGGTATATTAAGTTCGTCAATCCGTTTGTAACTCATCGAAATAATAATTTTAGACACAACAAAGTACATATATTCTTGATCAGCGCAAAATTATACGACGATTTAGCCCTGCCCGTCTGTTGTAATCGATCAAAACGAATAAAGATAAAAAAACTAGAATTTTGCACAGATCAGTCTTTTGTCTGCAGACAGGTCAAGTTCGAGGGCAGCCTATATCGTTTCACGTTATCGTATAGCCCCCACATAAGGGTACCTCCCGATATTCGGTATTTTGATGATTGTAGCTAATATATTCAATGAAATTGACTCATAATCCACAAAAGGAGTTCCTTCTGAGTACTTTACCCCTTGAAAGAGTATTGTCTATATAGGTCGTATAGCCCACATACAACGGTACCTCCCTAAATTCGGTATTTTGATTATTTTAGCGAAACTATTCGCCGGAGTTGTTTCAAATTACGTATTTAGAGTTTGTAATGGGAACTACAGTCTGTGACAGAAAATTGTCTATGCAGATCTAGGTCTTCGTGTAGGCCCCATATCTCAGTACCTCCTATTCCTATTCGGTATTTTTACGATTTTAGCTACAATATTCACTGATATTGTTTGAAATTTCGTATTTCAAGTTCCTAACAGGTATAACAATCTTTGACAGAAAGTTGTCTATGCAGGTCCTGGTCTTCGTATAGTACCAATATAATGGTACCTTCCTATATTCGATATTTTAATGATTTAAAGGACGTTATTGACCGAAATTGTTTGAAATTTCGTATTTGAAGTTCGTAATGGGAACTACGGCCTGTGACAGAAAATTATCTATGCAGGTCCACGTATTCGTATAGACCCCAATAAAACATTTTTAACAGAATTTTTAACGGATTTTAAATTTTGTGAAAATTTCCAAATTCGTTCCAAATAGTGTAGGGTATTCAAAGTTCGGCTCGTTTGACATTCCTGTTTTTTATTTGTTTTCAACGCTCAGCCATATGGCTAGAGAGGGTATAAATCATTTGATAACGGAAATAAGGGTTTTAGACCCTAAGTCTCTTTGGACCAAATCCATTTCAGGACATTTGGAGTCGATCTAGCTATGTCCGTCCGTGTGTCTATCTGTCTGGCTGGCTGGTGCGCACGACAACTCTCGAAGGGAGTATCCGATTTGGTCCAAACTTGGTACATCGTAATATTATTATTAAACTTAGATCGAGTTCGGAGATAGGAAATATCGGTCCACTCCTTCTGGTAACTCCCCCACAAACGTTTGCAATTTTCAACAAATATATTTTCTGCACAGAAAGAGAAGGTTAGTCCGATTTTGCTCCAACTTAACAAATCCTAATATTTGCATCAGTGCTAGGTCTTATGTGAAAATGGACAATATCGGTCCACTCCATCAAGTACCTTCCCCACAAATGGTCCAAATTTTGAATAATTATAACTCTTATAAAATGTGCAGTAAGAGTCCGATTGTCTTCAAATTACACACATCCTAATATTTTCATGAACCGAAGATATGTTGTTAAAATGGAATATGTCGGTCCACTCCTTTTGGTATCTCCCCCAGAAAGGGTTAAGAAGTAGGTTCAAGAAGCTCATAAAACACGAAATTATTAACCGATTGGATTCAGACTTGACACATCCATAAACACAAGATTTTTAATGGTAAAGATGGTATATATCGGGCCATTGCTTCTGGTACCTCCCCACAAAGGGTTAAAATTTCGAATAGCCAAAACCATCATAAAATCCAAAATAAGCATGCTGTTACATATATCACAATATTATTATTATCCCAAGCTCTGGTGTGAAAATGCTATTATCGGTCCACTCCTTCTGGTACCTCCCTCACAAAGGGAGGGTCACAAATTTTGAAAATATAAGAAGACCATAAAACGCGAAATTAACATCCCATTCCATTCATACTTCGTACATCTTAATATTTCTATCAACACACGATCAGTTCTAAAGATGGTAGAGATCGGACCATTCCATCTGGTACCTCCCCCACAAAGGGTCAAAATTTTGAATAACCAAAGCGATCATAAAATCTGAAATATGCATCCGGTACTCTTCATATTTCACACATCCCATTATTTGTACTAGCACAATATCTGCTGTGAGGATGGTATTTATCGGTCCACTCCTTATGGTACCTTCCCCACAAAGGGAAGGTCACAAATTTTGAATATATATGAAACTCATAAAACGCGAAATTAAAATCCGACTCCACTCATATTTGGCACATCTCAATATTTCTATCAACACACGATCTGTTCTAAAGATGGTAGAGATCGGACCATTCCTTCTGGTACCTCCCCCACAAAGGATAAAAATTTTGAATAACCAAAACGATCATAAAATCCGAAATAAGCATCCGGTTCTCTTCAAATTACACATTTCACAATATTTTTATTAACCCAAGACCTGGTGTGAATATGGAACTTCAGTCGACTGAACCTGGCACCCCGCTCACATTTTAACATTTTCTAAAAAGTACTACATATCTCATGTAAAGTGAAGGAAGTAAGCAATATGGTCCAAACCTGGCACGTCTCAATATTTATATCATATTTATTTAGGTCCGATACGAAACGGATAATATTGGTCCTTTCCTTCGGAACCTACTCCGCATTTGAGTAATCATAACAGAAGTCAAAATATATTTAAATAATCGAACATTTGCTGAGGGTATACAGCCGACTGATATTTTTTTTTTTTTTTTTATTTTTTTTTTTTTTTTTTTTGAGATTCACATGTCCATATACAAATTTAGATTCCGATATGTCATAGGATTTAATGCCAAATAATTTATTTCATCTCCATTTCATCGAATTCTTTTCAGATGCTTAACCCTCCTACCGACACCATTGATGGAGCATGGTCCACGAATAATAGTCGAGCAAGTGACTTTTGGGCCTAACGAGTTTACAAGCGATGAAATCTCACGCTACGTCTGGACAATAGCTGAAATTGTGATGCAGAGCGATCCCTATGCTTGCATTCAAGGTTTGGTCATTGTTATGGATTTCTCCAAGGTAACGCTTCAACATTTGCATTTGCTCTCGCCGAAAATGTTACTGGAGGTGATGATGTTTAGCGAAAAAGCATTGCCGCTACGCATTAAAAGGGTGTTGGTTTTAAATTGTCCAACCTTCGTACAGACCTTGCTCAATTTCGCGCTGTCATGTTGTTCGGAAAAGTTTCAGAAACGAGTAAGTATTTCTCATGGACTATGTAATTTGGTAATATTTCGTTCTTTTTAATGTCTTTCAGATCCATGTCTCCGATGGCAAGAATATTGATAAATTCGCAGACGTTTTTCCCAAAAAATATCTGCCACAAGATTTTGGCGGTGAAAACTCCTCAGTGGCAGATATTTGCAGGGAATTTGAAAAAGTCATCGATGAATATCGGAATTATTTTAAGCGTAATTCGGAGTGTGGAATTGATGAAAGACTACGTTTGGAAGAAAGTAATTTTAACAAAAATACAGAATTCGGTGCTGGAGGTTCATTTAGAAAAATAAATGTTGATTAATTTTATGGTGTACGATTTTAATTTTTAATTAATGAGAGGATATTAGTTCCCGAAATTTGATATTGAAGTCTCTATCGGTATCCGGGATTAAGATATTGAGGTGATTTTGGTAGTGGCGAAAAGTACTGAATGGTACTATATATTTATAAATTTCAGAATTTTATCTCTATTCTATCGTACAATTATATTACGCATCTCGAAAAACCACCACCATATCACATTTCGGGACACCAGCTCTATCCTCTCCACCAATACTTAATTTAGTACCACTCAGTACTTTTCGTTCAAATATAGAAAGCATTTCCAAAACCACCTCTATATATCAATTCTAATTACCAACAGAGATCTAAATGTTAAATTTGAGGATTCCAGTCCTGTTTTTTCATCCAACACCAAATATAGTACCATTCAGTACTTTTCGTACATTTATAGTACACATTTTCGAAACCACCACCATAAGTCCAGGCTACAAATGACCTAATACCAAATTTCGAATATCAAGGCCCATCTGTTCATCCAATAACAAATTGCACCAAATTAATACTTTTCGTACTCTTATAGTACACATTCCAATCGTAAAATGTGTGTTTTTATACCCCATCTATAGCCATTTGGCTGAGGGTATAAAAACACATTTGATACGACCAAAATGTGCCTCATCGAAATAACGGTTTTAGACCCTAGGTCTCTTTGGAGTCGATCTAGCAATGTGTAACGTGGTTTTCTCGTCAGCTGAGGTAAGCTCAGCTGTACCCAGGGTCGCCATAAGGACCCACTAAACCTTATGAAATAATAAGAGTAGATTTCTCCCTTTCCTGGGGGTAAATATCGGATGTTTTATTGATTTTTAATTCTAGATTACAATCTACTCGGGTTGAAATACGATAAGATAAGTATTGAATATAGGATGGCAAATGGACTTCGGATATGTTCGTGACTCCAAGGACGTAGGCAGGCGGGTGTACGATTCGTGAACAATCGGGAGTGATGATATTGGGTGTACACAAGGAGTACTCGGGTGGCTGATGTGTAGTGTAGTTAGTCGACGATCGGATACTCGGGGATGACCGTCGGAGGTTGATTGTGACGATGATCGGGAATTACGATGTTGCGTTCGGGTAACGCTTGCGTTGACGATTTGAAGGTAATCGGGAACTTGTCGACGGTTTGATTATTACGATGATTGCGTTCGGCTGATGCGGTCTGTTGACGATTTGACGGTAATCGGGAACTTGTGTTCGTTGACGATTTGAAGGTAATCGGGAACTTGTGGTCGTCGGTTGTCGACGATCAGGAATTACGATGATTGTGTTCGGGTGATACGCTCTCGGGGATGACCGTCGGAGGTTGATTGTGACGATGATCGGGAATTACGATGTTGCGTTCGGGTGACGCTTGCGTTGACGATTTGACGGTAATCGGGAACTTGTGGTCGTCGGTTGTCGACGATCAGGAATTACGATGTTGGTGTTCGGGTGATGCGTTCTGATGACGATTTGACGGTAATCGGGAACTCATGGTCGTTGACGATTTGAAGGTAATCGGGAACTTGTGGTCGTCAGTTGTCGACGATCAGGAATTACGATGTTGGTGTTCGGGTGATGAGGGTTGTTGACGATTAGAGGGTAATCGGGAGCAGCTGTCCAGGTCTTCGTGAGCGGATTGACATTCGTACTGGTTGGGCAGCTCGTTGAGGGTAGATTCGGCAACCGATGCGTTACGCTGTGTAGATGGATCGTGGCTCGTTCGGCAGCTCGGGTTTCTGTTATTCGGGTCGGCTATAGGGTCGAGGTAAGTAGCCTAGCTACGATTCTCTAACTACGTCTACTCCACTACCAATGTTTGACTATAATACGGAACAGCGAACCGAAGCTCCTGTGGAACAGCGAACCGAAGTTCCTGTGGAACAGCGAGCCGAAACTCCTGTGGAACAGCGAGCCGAAGCTCCTGTGGAACAGCGAACCGAAGTTCCTGTGGAACAGCGAGCCGAAGCTCCTGTGGAACAGCGAACCGAAGTTCCTGTGGAACAGCGAACTGAAGTTCCTGTGGAACAGCGAGCCGAAGCTTCTGTGGAACAGCGAGCCGAAACTCCTGTGGAACAGCGAACCGAAGTTCCTGTGGAACAGCGAGCCGAAACTCCTGTGGAACAGCGAGCCGAAACTCCTGTGGAACAGCGAACCGAAGTTCCTGTGGAACAGCGAGCCGAAACTCCTGTGGAACAGCGAGCCGAAACTCCTGTGGAACAGCGAGCCGAAACTCCTGTGGAACAGCGAACCGAAGTTCCTGTGGAACAGCGAGCCGAAACTCCTGTGTAAATGAATTACCAGCCACTCAAATTAATGAGAGCCAGTCTTGGAAAAAGTATTCCCGACTATGTGACCGGCTGTGAACAGCACACCACCGAAAACTACTTTGTTCACCACGCGCCCAATGAATGCTGCGTTTGCTGGCTAGTGCTGTTGTCACCTTGCTGACTGCGTATGACCGAGTCGTGTGTGTATGGTGGTGGTTGGTTGGTGCTGTTAGCGTCGCACTTGCAGTGGCCGCTGTTGTTGTTCTCATTGTGTAATAGGTGCGGTTGTCTGTTCGTATAAATGTACATGATGAAATCAGCACGTTACAAATGTTCGTCCGTCCGTCTGTCTGGCTGGCTGGTGCGCACGATAACATTCGAAAGCAGTATACGATTTGGTCCAAACTTGGAACATCGCAATAATATTATCAAACTTAGATCGAGTTCGGAGATCGACAATATCTGGTACATTTCCCACAAAGGGTAAAATTTTTCAAAAAAAAAAAAAAAAAAAAAAAAAAAAAAACAAGTAAAAAAACATTAAGTTCGGCCGTGCCAAACTTTTAATACCCTCCACCTTAGGGTAAAGGAAACATTAGAAGAAATGTGACAACAACCATTAAAATGCCGAATATTGGGAGGTATCGTTATATGGGGGCTATACCAAATCGTGGACCTACACATGCAATGTTTCGCCAACGGACCTACCATTATGACCTACAAATACGCATTTTTAGACCAATCCGCGGAAATATTTGGCAAAAATTATCAAAAAAACCGAATATCGGGAGGTACCGTTATATGGGGGCTATATCAAATCGTGGACCCATACATACAATGTTTCGCCACACGAACTAGGACCCATTACGACCGACAAATATCAATTTTTTGAAAAATCAGTGCAAATATGTGGCAAAAACCATCAAAATGCCGAATATCGGGAGGTACCGTTATATGGGGACTATACCAAATCGTGGACCCATACGTGCAATGTTTCGCTACCGGAGCTGGAACCCATTAGACAAATCCGTGAAAAAAAAAGTGGCAAAAATAATAGAAATACCGAATATCGGGAGGTACCTTTATATGGGGGCTATACCAAAACGTGGACCTATACATGCAATGTTTTGCCACACGTACAGGGACCCGTTATGACCTACAAATACCAAATTTCAGACAAATCCGTGAAAAAATGTGGCATAAATCATAAAAAATACCGAATATCGGGAGGTACCGTTATATGGGGACTATACCAGAACGTGGACCGATATATCTCATTTTCAATACCAACCATCCTAGACACAATACAAATTGCTCTGCTAAATTTTGTATTTTTTTAAAGCTCTACGTCAAATAATGTGGGCTGTATCGTGATTTCAACAGACACACGGACAGACAGACAGGCGGACATTGTTAAATCGACTTAGAATTTTATGCTGATTATGAATATATATACTTTATGGGGTCTACGACGAATATTTAAGGATGTTACAAACGGAATGACAAAGTTAATATACCCTCCTTTCCAAGGTGGAGGGTATAAAAATATTTTACTGCAAATAAAGAGAAATGATAATTCGATTTTTCTCATCCAAAAAGGGTCAAAATTTTGAATAATTATAACTCTTATAAAATGTAATCTAAGCGTCCGATTCTCTTCAAATTACACACATCACAATATTTTTATTAGCCCAAGGTCTGGTGTGAAGATGGAATATCTCAGTCAACTCCTTCTGGTACCTCCCCCGCAAATGTTCAAAATGTTGAAAATCCATGAAACTCATAAAACGCGAAATTAAGATCCGATTTCATTCATACTTTGCACATCTCAATATTTCCTTCAACACAAGATCATTTATAAAGATGGGAGGGATCAGACAATTTCTTCTGGTACCTCCTCCACGTAGGATTCAAGAAACGCTCACAGAAAGCGAAATATGCATCCAACCCTCTTCATATTTCACACATACAAACATTTTTGTTTTCAAAACAAAATCTGTTGTGAAGATGATATATATATCTACGGAACCCATCTGTTACCTCACCCAAAAAGGGTCACAATTGACAATACTTTTGTCTGTCATAACTTGTGAAACAAGTCAGCGAGTTTTTAAAACTTGCTGTATCTAAATATTTCTCTCAACGAAAAACTTGAGATGAGATGAATATGGAATTTATAATTTCGTATAAAATTGGATATAAATTTTCGATTTGTTTGCCCATACCTATATTTTATCTGTATTAGATGAAGTATGAAAATTGAATACTTCTATAGACTATATATGGTACTTCACGCACATTCTAAAATGTTCTAAAAAGTATCACATTTATATCATATTTATTTGGATCCGATACGATATGGACAATAATGGCCCATTCCTTCGGAACCTACTCCATAGACGGGCAACAATTTAAAAAATCATAACAGAAGTCAAAATATAGTAAAATCATCGAACTTGTTCATATTTATAATTGCACTAACAATTTTTATTGCCTGCTGTATACCTTTCTCCACAGGCCACAAAGTAAACATTCTCGTTGTGAGATGCATTTTTATACCCTCCACCAAAAAAAAGTATGGAGGGTATATTAAGTTCGTCATTCCGTTTGTAACTCATCGAAATAATCATTTTAGACCCAACAAAGTATATATATTCTTGATCAGCGTAAAATTCTAAGACGATTAAGCCCTGTCCGTCTGTTGTAATCACACTACAGT